TTCACTCCGGATCTTTGTAGATTGCATCAAGTCGTAAATATCCAGTTAATGATCTTTACCAGACGCATATGGTTCACCTATTGAATAATTGAAAGAAACAGAGATATGCTTGCCTGAGCGGCACTCATATCACTGTTTTCTTCTTAGATTAAGTCGATCGATGTTTATTTCTATAGAGGGTAGTGCTGGAAAAAGGCTAGCAACTATCAAGATTCATGGAAGTCCGGTGTGCTAACTAGTAGTAAAAGGCCCACTCTACTTGATTGTCTTTCGAATACGCTATCATGAGCCTGTGCGCTTCCGATGGAAGATTGGTGACGATTATTCTTGTGCAGGGTTTCTATTATCCTCTTAAAGTTATCTGGAATCAAATTAACCTTATTTCCTTAATCGTATATCAGGTCTTATCTACTGGGCTTTTCCTGGAGAAAGATGTTTTCAGGAGTCGAAACAACAGTACCGCGTACAAGTTGTCGCAACGGGCGCTCACTCCACGGGGTAATCCAAGACGATAAGAAGTTGTGGGATGTGCGTCGCCGTGACTATCTAGAAGAGCACAAGGAAAACTGCGTTTGACAAGCCCGCCTTGCCACGTTGTCGGAGGTCCTCCTCCTTGTGCGGTGCCCCATGATGTTATCTCCGTTCCTGCGATGAGGTTACAACGACTATCACGACTCTGCGCTTAACACGACCCTGCGTTATTCCCCTAACACTGCACCTAAATAATTAAAGCTAGCGGAGGTTAATATTGGCAGTCATAATATCACTGATGTCAAATCTGTTAAATATACTGTGCGCATGAAGGAGTAAAGAAATCGAGAAGGAATTTTGCCATCGTATTTGAAATAGATATGATAGAGATGGAGCTCTTTTACTGCACAAAACCTAAAAAAATAAGTCGCTTTTTTCCTATTGACAAAGAAAATGGTAAGCTTAACCATAAACTTACGGGATGGTACCTCATCTTGCTAGGGGTGAAGGGGGCATGTCAGGATAACGGTAAGCATAACCATTGGCCCTTCTCCAGATAACACATGCGCGTAGCGTTTTTGTAAATAAACTGCGGACTGACGGAATAAAATAATTTTTGCGCAGTACAGAAGCGGTGGAATATACTTTTGCATGAAACTGTTGCAAATGAAGCTGCCAGATTATAACTTTGGTAAGTCTGTGAGACGGCAAAAGGAGCACAAGAGCTAGAAGCACTTCAAATGAATTGTTGGGGTCTTTTTGAGCTATGGTACCTCATCTCACTATGGGTCGCCAATGCGCGTCAAGCCTTCTGCTCATGCGTAGTGGCGTTAGCCAGGGGGCGCTTGACACGTTCGGTCACCAACCACCAGCGGAGCAGAAGTTGTTTCATTAGTTCATGTCGTTTAAGACTGTGGGGCGAAAGAGGATTACGTTAATCGATTTAGACGGCAACCGCAACTATAGAGCATTGTTTCATCGTGTAAAGCTGCCACAAATTTCAACCCAGAGGAAAAACTATCTAGGTGAGTAGAGTGAATCTTTCTGTATGCGCGTGTGGTTCAGTGGTAACACTCAAACTTGGGTAATTAAACTGTATTAACCAACGAATCAACACAACACTGACAAGATCAAGGCACTAAAGCATACTGTAAGTATAAGAGAATTGAAGCACACGTATGGGAGAATTAAAGCACAATACCATCGAGCACAATAGTAAACGAGGCTGAGCAACGAATCCTCTAAAGTACTAAGTGAGAATCAATGCTCAAATTTATGATCTAAACGCTAAGGAAACACACGAGATGCTCTATTAATACATGTCAACAGAATACAAGCGATGCTCTAGAATGAGGGGAAAATGACAAAATGGCTCTTAAGAGTCGAGGAGAAACAGTCGAATGCTTTATGATGCTCTGACCATTTTTATACTGACGTTCGGCATGCTCGGGTTATCACGGTTGCGGATCTAAGCTAGAACGCATGGGAGCGGCCCCTATGTTTTCCTCATGCTCTAGTCACATCCGCGACACTCCCCCTAGCGTATATAGCTCATTTTCAAATTATCCACGAGGGTGGTCCGTGGGAATCTTTGTTGGTGTCCAGTTCTAGCTTAATATCATCCAATTTCTTGTAAGTGTCCGCAATTTTTTCTGGGAGGGTGCACGGAGCTTTACCATGGTTCTCTGATCCGCAATACATGCATTTTTTTGTTGTTTCGGACACCAGACTTTATAATGTCGACTGTCCAGGCATAGTGTGCATTTGACCTGCACTCTTCTACTTTCTACGCTAGTGTACGCTGGACAACTACCCGAATAGTGTTGTCCCTTTGCCAGACAGAATGAGCAGGCGGAATATCAGTCCAGTTCCCTCATAAAGTCGACGTCACGAAATTTACGGTCAGGGGCGTCTCGATGGCTCCTCAGGAATGTTCATAGCTCTGCGATTCGTTCTTTGAGTTCGATTCTTTGAAAGTGGCCAGGATATTCTTCGAGAGGATTAACCTACTCTGAAAAGTTCCCCAGCTTCAGATCCTCGGTCTCGTGATCGAGATCGAAATCGTTCGATGCTGTGTCTCTTGAAGAGACTCATTTTTGTGCTCTGAAGATGCTCGTCCCTCCTTTCCGTAAACACTCTTCACCTTTGAACCATGGGGCCTTAGTCAGGTTCCAGCCCTCGATTTCCCGGAGGGATCCACAAGGAATCAAGCCTTTCTGAAATGCTCTTAATTGCTTCTTCTTGACTGATGATCTTCTGCGTCAGGTCTACTATATCTTTCTTTATGTTGGTGACCATTTCGTTGACCTGGATCCGCGCATTTTCGTGGGCTTCGCTTTCTTCTTGGGACTTAGCATCTCTTAATTGTATCCGATGCTTTGATACCGTGGAAAAGTCCAGTTCCTTGTGCACGAAATTCGCCGTAAACGCTGGGTCTAACGGGGTCTAAGGACACAGCTCGTTCTCACTTGTCCTAAAAACACACACGACAGATCGCAAGTGATTCATTTGAGAAAACAATAAGTCTGTAGACTTCGTTTGCTATGGATAATGCTTCAGATGAACTTTGAATCCTGTCCAAGGTATTGCGAACTTCCAGATGCACATTTTGTAGGCGGCTATTGTGGAGCGTCACCTCCATGCTTGCAAAATGTTTGGACCGGGTCGCGTATCGCTCAGAAAGAATGCTAGATGTTACAATATATATAATTGCGTTAACGAATCTATACGTCGTTTTCTGGATGTACTCTTCAGACGGAAACGTGGTTGCCAACTTGATGCAGAAACGCTTGTATCTGGTTTCTTCGCTCAGATTTCGTTCTTCGGCTCCGCGTTTTTTTTTGCGAATTCGTCGTACCGTTTTGATGAGGGCATTGCTCTGGAACGGGATAAATGATGTGAATAGTAAGAAAAGGTTACTAAATTGGTGGTGGGTATGTCTTCAGAGAATTTTCTTTGTTTTCTTTTCAGTCGCTCCATCTTTGTGAAAAGCATCAAGTTTAGAATGACTTTCAAGAAGAGCTAAGGCAAATCGCATTCGGATTTTATGAGCTTCCATATGCTTTTTATACACCATGAGACGATTTTACGGCACGCTGTTGAAAGTTAGATTTAGCTCAAAAAAAGTGCTTCTGCTACCGTGGCAATGGATATTATTAGGGTTTTATACCACTGCAAATAGATTCACTATGTGGTTGATATCGGGCCTGATTGTCCACTATGGTCAATGACTGTAATGGGGCCAAAGTAATCTATTTCAATATTTTTGAAAGCACATGATCTAGTTACTCTTTTTTCAGGAAGATCTGTCATTTCCGGATAACGATAGGGTAGATTATTGAGCTTTTGGCAAGGAACGCATGAGCGTATGCTTGTTTTTACTTGTTCCCGCAGTCTTGGTTTCCAATATTGTTGTCGTACTTTTCCCATGATATGTCCGGTGCTATGCGGTACGTTCCATGTGCTTCCAATACAATGAGGCGGGCTAACTCTATTTTGGGCGCAACCAGGATGGGATTCTTTGCCATGCTGTCTAGATCTGATTTGTTGAGACGACCGTATGCTCTGTGCATGTGATACTGGCCTTACTATATTGAGGTTCTTAAGTGGTTCCTTCTTATGGTGCGAACGTAGGTGCGCTGCTTGGTGATTTCTTATCAACATGATGTGAGCATCTTTGATGTTTAAGGCAGTCAATGTCGTTTTCCATTACGTTCGTGACTACCACGTCATACACGTCATAATTTCCCCAGAAGTGGCTCCTCAATTCGAGTACTGATTCTTTTCAAGAATCGAATAATATAGGCTAGGATCCTCAGAGACTTTGACCTGCTGTTATATCTGTATAAGTCAAGTATATCCTCGACTTGAATCTCATCCACTCTCATAACATTTACGTGTGCAGAAGGTGTATAGTCTTCCTCTCCTTCTCCCGTTCTGGTTCGTCTGGTAGATAGAATAAGGTGGATGTAAATCCGTCCTTAAGGGTGCTCTGTGAATATCCGTTCCAAATGTGTGATGGAATTCCTTAAGTAGACTTTCCTCTTGTTCCAATATACGCTGGGTTCCACTTTGTGTGAAAGTAGCTTTACTTTACTTCAACTCCTCTTCAAAAAAGGATTGTGTAATTCGTCGAATTTCTTTGATCCGATTTTTGACGTATGGTCCTGTTCTCTCCCGATTTTATTTGGTTTGAGGCCATTTCAATGCTCTCAGAATCCATTAAGAGAATGATCTTCGAAATGTTCAGCGAGGATTTAATGCTGAGAAATACATTAAATGTTAAGGTACACCGGTTGCTGTGGCGTTCAATTCCATTTTGGGTACTGTAGTTGGGTGCTTTACGTTTGATACTTCTGATTTTGCCATAAGGAAATAAGATGTTTCCTCCGCAGTCACATAGGTGCATGCTGTCATGGATATCGCGCTGGCATCAGAATATGTGACCAGTGTATACGTCCTTATATCATCCTGTGTAATTCTCTTTGGCAACTCCCTACGAAATTCAGATATGTATTGGAAATACTTTCTCACTGTTGTTTATGCTTTTCGCTTAGAGGTTCTTCCCAATCATAGTGATGTTTCCAGAGGGGATGTTGGAAGTGCTTTGTTTTAACAAAAAGTGGGATGAACAATACGAACAGATCGTACACGGATGCAATTTGTTGTGCAGTCGTGCTCTCGCTGATGGTTTCTTCCCGTTGTATTTGTACTTTACGCACGACGGAAATTTGTCTGCGATCGAGTTTCAAAGAAACCCAAGAACTTCGGGAGATGTTTTTGAAGATCGATCAGGAGCTGATATAGCCTTTATGATGTTGAGGTTGTTGCTTAGAAATGCTCTAGGGTTCATTTTGAGGTCATTGAAGATTGACTTCAAACATTTGTATTTGTGTAACCCTTCCGTTGTTGTAATTGCGCTTACGATTAGGTTGTCCTTGTAGAGATTGGATACGATCCCCGCTGCTAGTGTTTTATCCTTCACGTGGTTTCCGAAATGAAAGTGGATTGTTGCACTCAATAGAAATGGTGACGCATTGATGCCAAAAACCCTTCTAAATCTGTAAACGACTAAATTGTCTTCTGTCAACAGCTTCACTACATTCTCGAGCCATAAGCATCGAGTGAAGTCTCTATCTTCTTCATGCAGATGTACTTGAAGGAAGGCCTTTTTCAAATCCGATAAGTGGACGAATTTCCCAGTGCGAAGGCGTAGGAGCATGCCATAGAGTTTAGGGAGTATGGTAGGCCCTTGATGCTCTACATCACTAAGCGACGGGCAGTTCTTGTAATGTGGCGATGCATCAAAAACTACTCTAAATTTAGTGGTATCTACTGTGGAGTGATAACAGGTTGAAAGGACATAGTGTTTTGGTTTCCCTATGGTGTCGTTTGTTTCATCTGCTTCCTTCAAGATTATTTTACTCAACTGATCCTGAAATACGTCATGGTACTGCTCGGGAATGAGGTTCTTCTTCATATCCGAGCAATACGCTCCTTAGACGACGCAATACCAAAGCTCTGTTGTCTGGTAGATAGTCATGTGACTTTTCGAATGGAAGTCGAACAACATAGCCTATGTCACATTTTTCAATGGTGTTCTTGGAATTTTCCAATACTTGTTCGTTAATGCGAGCTTTTTCTTCTCTTTCTGGGTCACCTGTTCTACTGCTTGAGTCCGTGCATTCCAATGGGTTTTCCAAGGATCCCTTTTATTCTGCGATTCTGTGGAATGCACGGTGGAGTGTAAGTGTTCCTCACTATTGTTGAGGCACTCCCAAGAGACCATGTACCATAGTCGTGTGGGCACAAGTGTGAGTCCTGGCGGCATCGTGAAATGGGGTCTAATGAAGTCTGGCTCCCTACCGACGCACCAATTGTATGCGCGTGTGGTTCAGTGGTACACACTCAAACTTGGGTAATTAAACTGTATTAACCAACAAGTCAACGTAACACTAACGAGAAGGCACTAAAGCATACTGTGAGTGTAAGTAAATTGAAGCACAAGTATGAGAGAATTAAAGCACAACACTATTGAGCGCAATAGTAAACAAGGCTAAGTGACGAATGCTTTAAAGTACTCAATTATGCTCCATTAATACAAATTAAGAGAATACTTGCGATGCTTTAGAATAAGGGGAAGAAATGACAAAATGGCTCTTGAGAGTCGAAGAGAAACAGTCGAATGCTTTCCGATGCTCTGACCATTTTCTTACTGACGTTTGGCATGCTCGGGTTATCACGGTCGCGGATCTAAGCGGGAACGCATGGGAACGGTTTCCCTCATGCTCTAGTCACGTCCGCGACATTTTGGATAAGGCGGCTGAAGTAGCTCAAGCTGAACTTGAGAAAATAGAACCCTCTGGACGAGCAAGGTGGTACCGGTGCATGTGCATGTGCAAATGAAGCAGTGCTAAAGAGGAAACTTCATAGCACCATTTTTAGCACGGGTTCAGATAGCGGTAAACAATGAGCAAAATAAAGAGAAGAGGGCTTAGTAATGGGAAGACGGGCAGTAGGAACGGTTTTGCGTAATCGATCCGCTCACGCGGCTGTCGCGGACCATTCGCCTCAATAAAACAGTTCCAACGTTCTTCGTACAGCTCAATCGCTGTGCGATTATTGCTATGATATGATTTTACTGCTAGTTCTTTTGTTTCTGAACTTCTTATTCGCTGCTGCATTCTGCTACATTCATTTGCGCGCAGCGTCTCTGCGGCGCCGACGCGACAATTTCGTTCCTACTGCACCACACCCCAAACAATGAGACGATTGGGGGCGCAATGTTTCAGCGTTTTCTAAATTAGCTGCGCTTATTACAAAAGCTTAACTCGTGTCTAATAGAGGGAGAGAAAGTGGTGGAAATGGTCAAGCTTCAAGGTTTGCTGGAAATGGGCATTGCTTTGCCTATCAGTTTCTCAGAATTCGCTGTCAACTAGAGGCACAGAATAACAACAAAAAGTTCAAAACACTACAAAGCCAAGCAGTACAAAGAAAATAAATAGAGTCGAATTTTCGGAGCACTAGATGCCACCGTCAGGGTACAGTGGTCAGCTCTGAGCCAGTTCTTCTTCCTACTGACCATGAAAAACATCAAAAGAGAACCCGGATGAAGCGCTGAAGACCATACTCTACGCCGATGACATCGTTCTGATAGGAAGAGCAAAGAAGAACCCCAGAACAAGCTGCAGTAATAGCAAAAAGTGCCAGCGGAGAACGGTCTCCGGCCGAACGTGAAGAGAGCCACGCTTCGCAGCTCCGAGGGGAGCACGAAGTCAATTGTAGACGATCTCGAGGAAGTCATCATAAGGGATCAGGGCTCCAGATACCTGGAAAACTAGCCTGAAGCGGGCTATAAAAAGCCGAATAAACGCGGCAGGGATTAAGTGACGGGTCTACTTCCTTGGTCTCTGCTGGTATCCTCGGTGACCGTCGATGCTCCAGGACCCTCAAAGGAAAGATGTATTGGCTAGAGGTGAAGCCCACGATGCTTCACGAGTGTTGGCGAGAAAATTGAAACAATTAAAGACAGCTCCACCCTCACTGAAAGGAAAATGTTCAGATGGGCGTGCGGTTGGAAGCGGCTGGCTCGGTTCGCAAAGGAAGGCGTCATTGAGGCTATATGAACCCCCTGTCCAGCTGATGATGAGAGAGCAGTGCCTGCGATTGTTTGGGCATGCACTAAAAAGACCACAGAGCCATCCGATAAGGGAGGCAATTGAGTTCGAGGCGCAAGGTAGGCGACCACGGATACCTCACAAGGAAGGTCTTTCAGGGCGTGGGACGCTTTTTGAAAATGGTTTTTTGCATGGTATAGGGGCATGAGCACTGAGCAGAGAAATATGGTCCATTTCCGCTAAATGGCCTTCTGAATGCCAAAAAAGGAGTAAAATGATTTCGTCAGAAACTGCCGTTTTAAACCACTGAGCGTCGTTGGTTTCATTCATGGCGTCGACTGTCCGCACAG